ATCAGGCCATTGCCCTCCAGCCTGGCCAACAAGAGCGAAACTCCTGTCTTAATAAATAAATTAATAAATAAAATAAAAATAAAATAAAAAATAAAACAAAAATAATAATAAAAATTATGTGCCAAGCACTGTGGTCATCATTTTACATGGGTAACTGGTTATGCAGAAGGTATGAATATTTTCTGTGTGATTTAACAGCTCAGTTCAAAATTTCATAAGCTCCCACTACCTGAAAGGCTGAAGCATGACAAAGATGAGCCAAAAAGAGAAAAGTTGCAAATTTTGAAATATCTGTTAAAGCATAGTAAAAGGCATAGTACATAGCACATGACTGTTTTCTGCAATTCTGAAATCCAAAAAGCTCTGAAAAATTGAAGATTCTTTTTATAACTCATTTGGCAACAAAAATCTGACCCAAACTGATGACAGGCTATTTACTCTTACGGTGGGAATATTCATATATTTGCTGTATAAATATTGATGTCTGATTATGGGGTTCTACCCCACATTCCACCACGGCATAATGTAATATGTAAGGTATTATGGATCTTGAATTGATTCTTGTGTGCACTTCATTTGTAAATACATACACACAAAATGGCAGTTAAATAGTTGTTTCTATTTTAAAAGCACCATTAAAGATGGCTTGTTAAAGGTAGATACCGTGATAATTCCATGACAATCATAGTTCTCATTCTCATTCTTTTATTCATTATTTAAAATCAAATAACATTAATAACATACTTCAGAAAGTTTACACTTATCCTACTTCCATTGGCTGTCATCCTGAAAAAAAAAAAAATGCCAAGGGATGATGATGATAAAACATGTTTATTCTTCCATGAAATGTATAAATTGAAACCAAGTATGTGGAACCCACATTTAAAATGAGTAATTCAACACAATAACAATCAATTAGTAGTCACTGAATGTCATACAGGTAAGACAATGTTTTAGGCACTATTTTTTTAAAAAGAAAAAATTTACCCAGAAATAATAACAAGATACACAAATTTTTTATACCTCAAAATTTTGTTTTCATTTATTTTCTACCATGATTATGTGCAGGAAGTGACTGTGTAATGATTGATATAGATTGTCACAGCTCATCACTCATGTGTCTACTTGCATCAGTCATTAGCAGTATAGAAATACCAGGTCATGCAGCAGTTCATTAAGTTTCGGGAGATTAGTCTGTTAAGATCAAGTGAAGATCAGTAGCTCAGTAAAGTTTGGTGAAAATATTCATAGTTGAGAAAGATTCTAAGCAGAGATGACTATTTATCAGCTGTGAAATTTCCAAGAGTTAACTTCTGGTTGGGATTGTATCCTACCATTTACAAATACATAGAATCTAAGATTAAAGCCTTTATAGGCTGGGCGTGGTGACTCATGCTTGTAATCCGAGAACTTTGGGAGGCTGGAGTGGGAGGATCGCTTAAGACCAGGAGTTTGAGGTCACTGCACTCCAGCCTAGGTAACAGCACAAGACTCTGTCTCTAAAAAACAAACAAAAAGTAAAACCCTTATAGTCTTTCAGTTTTTTCTTTTTTCAGCACCCCGTGCTGAGAGAGGATGTTTTTTCTTAAAAAAACGAACAAACAAACAAACAACAAAAAAAACACACTACATGTTTCTTTTGCATTTCCAAGTGAAATCTTTCTAGATAGTTACTGAGAAACAAATGAGTAAGTTTGTGAATGGATCTTTAGTCTTGCCAGTTTGTCTCACTGTATGAGAACTAAGGAAATTATTCAAATACAGTGCATTCTTTAAAGTCACTTTGAAAGCTCTGTTCTTAACCAAGTGCAGTATAAAACCGAACAAAAATACTCTTAAAATGATTTTATTAATCCACAGATTCATTTTTTAATGACGTAAAGTTGGATAAAAAGACTTTGTTCTGGTAAAGTTATCTAAATAATAATATAAAAGACTGTTTTGGTTGCCACACAAAAAGGCATGGAATGTTTGAGGCTTTTGAAAACCTAGAACAAAGGCCACTTTTAAAAACATTCTGATTAGGCCGGGCGCGGTGGCTCACGCCTATAATCCTAGCACTTTGGGAGGCTGAGGTGGGTGGATCACCTGAGGTCAGGAGTTTAAGACCAGCCTGGCCATCATGGTGAAACCCCATCTTTAAAAAAAAAAAAAAAATTCTGATTAAACATTTTGGCTTACACTTACCATCACATCACTACATCAATTGGGAGTATGAATGCAGCTCAAGATGAGCAGTTTCCATCAGAAACAAGTTTACGATAAAGATTGGACAGTTTTCATTCTTTTTTTAAAAAATAATATTTACAGTGCTGGTGGCTCATGTCTGTAATCCCAGCACTTTGGGAGGCTGAGGCAGGTGGATCACTTGAGGTCAGGAGTTGGAAACGAGTCTGGCCAACATGGTGAAACCACATTTCCACTCAAAATACAAAAATTAGGCCGGGTGCAGTGGCTCACGCCTGTAATCCCAGCACTTTGGGAGATCGAGGTGGGCGGATCACCCGACGTCATCAGGAGTTTGACACCAGCCTGACCAGCTTGGAGAAACCCTGTCTCTACTAAAAAAAATACCAGATTAGCTCGGCGTGGTGGTGCATGCCTGTAATCCCAGCTACTTGGGAGGCTGAGGCAGGAGAATTGCTTGAACCCAGGAGGCAGAGGTTGCAGTGAGCTGAGATCACACACTGCATTTCAGCCTGGGAGACAGAGCAAGAATCTGTCACAAAACAAAACAAAACAAAACAAAACAAAAAACTACATTTACTTAAATTATTTAGTAATAAGCTACATCATTTATTAATTTTAAATTTAAATTAAATTTTAAATAAAATAACTTTAAAATCAAATATATTTGATTTCTAAGAAACTTGGTAAAAGCATTTTGCCTGGAGCAAATAATTTCAGTATTTTGGCATTATTATCCATATTCTCTATAATGACGTGTAAGAAAATAGGTCAGCTATTTTATATATATATGAATGCATAAAGATAACTGGCTAAGGTTAGACAAATGTTTGGCAATCTTGTACAAGCAGTCAGATTTTTGCAGTCATCATTGTTCACTTTACTATTGTTTTACCATAAATAGCTCCTCTATAATATAAAAATTATTTAACCCTATTTTATATTTTGTGGATTCAGTTAGAACACATTTGCCCTTTTCTTGACATCCTCCTCCTATCTCTCCCTTCCCCCACCCAATACACACACACACCAAGCACAGTGTGGTGAACAAGGTGCTATGAGACGAGTTCTAGACTTCCTTCTGCTCATGCATTGAACTTCTGGCCCTGCCTTCCTGTTTGTTTCTTCTAGTTCTTTAGCTCTGTTTTAAATCTTGGAACACATGATATCCTTCAGCCCAAGTATTAGTCTCTCCCGATCTTAGTATTATAAAGGGTGTCCACTGAAATTTAATTCATATTTTATGTTTTAGCTATTTAACTTTAGAAGTAGGCACAGGTGACTGTACTTTAAACTGCTGTTAGATTTTCAGTGTTTGGGTTTAGGCCATTTTGGATTGACAGGAAATTGTCATATAAGATTGAAAACTGTAACAGTAAAATGGACTACTTTACATTTTGGGGAACAAGTATTTTCTCATTTGGTTAATTATGGTTTGAACTCGTGAAATTAACCTAAGGATATCAAGAAAATGCTGACAATATAAATATTCATACCTTATATAGTTATAATTTATATTCTCTCCATAAGCACAATTAAAAATGCATGAACCTAGAAAATGTACAAGTATTTGAAAATACAATTAAATATCTACTTCGAAGATGCACAAAAAGCACAAACGTGACTTTTGATTAGGTTGTCTGCAGGAACATCCCTCTATTATTTCCACTTGGCAAGAACAATAGTTCAGGGTAAAAAAAAGCAGAGGAAGCCAGGCATGGGAGGGTCACGCCTGTAATTCCAGCACTTTGGGACACCGAGGTGGAAGGATTGCAGTGCCCTGAAGTAGGAGACCTACACCCTGGGCAACATAGGGAGACCCTGTCTCTACAAAAAATAAAAAGTTAGCCAGGCATGATGGTGTGTACCTGTGGCCCCAGCTAGCGGGAGGCTGAAGTGGGAGGCTTGCTTGAGACTGGGAAGTTCAGGACGCAGTAAACTGTGATCATGCCATTCCACCCTGGTCAATGGAACAAGACCCCGTTGCCGCCCCCACCCTCCCCAAATAAGCAGAGGATATGCGACAAAGAATTCCTATGGGTCTATGAAAACACACATCTTTTTCTACTCCCTCTGCATAGGAATGAAAGGAAAACTCATGAGAAAAAAATTCTCACCCATTGTAAATATAATAGTATGCCCATGAGCAGCACATCAGTCTCAACTCTGTAAAATGCTTACTCTATTTACAAAGCATTTTTTGCATGATTCACTAGATTCTCAAAATAATTTTCCATGAAACACAATAATAATGGGGTTATTAGCCTAATTTTACAGATAAGAAAAATGGTGCTTACAGAGGTCAAGTGACTTCGTCATAGTTAGATATTGGTAACCAAGTTTTCTGATTTCTTATTAAATATTCTTTCTATTATGCTATTTAGGTTTTCAAACAAATGAAGCAACTATAGTTTAACAGTAAAAACCCTATGATTCCAAAAAACTTCACTTGGTACTCCTTTGTGATTAAGAATAGTTTACAGAACAGAATAGAAGTGTACATTATAAAATATTTGACACTATGATCAAAATATCCCTTCCAGGAGAATTTAATCAATAAGTTAAAAATCAGTAAACTCAAAAGTCATTTTACCATCTTAATTGATTATTCTATTTTCACTTATACTGATGAGATTGTAAAATGCAATTTGAAGGCTAAATATATCGAACATCTAGCCAATTTTCCTTGTTCAGAAAAATCTCTTCTGCATTCTTTTTGTATTGGAAATGAGGAAATTTGGAAACTCACTTGGAGAAAAATGCTTTTACTAAAAACATTCTATGTTTACCTATATTAATAATTTTGACAATAGTTCAAGGTAAATTGCATTTATTTTTTGAAAATGTCAATATATAAATAAATTTTATTTTTCTTATCTAAATATGAACAGTATACTGTAACAGCAGAACATTTGCTACTGTTACAGTATACTGTTCATATTTAGATAAGGCATGGCAGTGCATGCCTGTAATCCCAGCACTTTGGAGGCCAAGGTGGGTGAATTGCTTGAGGCCAGGAGTTGGAGACCAGCCTGGGCAACATGGACAAAGCCTATGTCTGCTAAAAATACTAAAATTAGCCAGGCGTGGTGGTACACGTCTGCAGTTCCAGCTATTCAGGAGTCTGAGGTAAGGTACTGAGAATCGCTTGAACCCAGGAAACAGAGGTTGCAGGGAGCCAAGATATCGCCACTGCACTCCAGCCTGGGCGACAAAACAAAATCCTGTCTCAAAAAAAAAAAAAAAGGAAAAGGAAACATTTGATGAGCAGTCCTCTGTTTTAAATTTTACAAATATTTGCTTAAAATATTTTGCTTAATCCTTAGATATCTTTGTAAAACATAATGCATTTTTAGGAGTAATAAATTAGGGAACAAAAATGAACATAAAACTTATTTTCTTGTGTTGAGGCAAAATTAAGGGAGGACAAACATTTCCAAAGAATGGGGAAAAAGCCTGGTACCTTAAACAAGGAACTGCTATTTACGTCCTAGTGAATATTTCTGAGATTGTTTACTCTGCAGGTGAACAGTGCATACATATTTAAATGCACTTTGGAATTCAATATTAACTCAAGAGAACGTAATTCCTGATACAATCTTTTCAGTTGACTATATATGTACAAAAATCCATTCAAACTGTCAAGAAAAATGAGTAATATTGACATACCTGGACACTAAGGTCAGTGTATGCTAACAAAGTAAGAATGGAGGTAACTACGTAGATTTTCCAGTTTCAAGAAAAACGTTGGCCGCTTTGCCTGATAATTTAGCAAAATACCCAATCTGGTAGTGTAACAAGTGAGCATAGTGCTCTGAATCAAATGCCTTACAAAATAGTATTAGTGTGGGTTTGTAACCTTTTTAAATGCTTTATTGCATCATTCTGCTGTTAATGTTGGTATTTATCCTGAAATGACACCCAATCTGTTCCTGTTAGTTCTTTGGCATGTTTGAAGTCAGCAGAAGCACTCTTTCCTGGGCTTTACTGCTTCCTCAGAAGAATGCACAGTATTTGGAACAAAACCACTTTTAACTCCTTCCCAGCCATCCTGAATACAAATTTCTCCCTTTTTAATAAGTTCATATATGTCTCTTGTCAAGATTGTGAAGGATTCTTCAACATTTGTAGCATCCTTTGCTGAGGTTTCTATATACTTCATTCCACAGTCTGCTGACAGTTTTTCAGCTTCTTCCCTTGTAACTTGGCGTTGTGAAGCTAAATCACATTTATGTCCCACTAGCAGAAATACAATCCGAAATGGCTGTACGTGCATTTTTGCTTCTTCTAGCCAATCTTTCACATGTTCAAAAGATCGTCGGTTAGTAATGTCAAATACTAAAAATCCACCAACTGAGTTGCGGTAATAAGATCGAGTTATTGATCTGAAAAATAAGAGACAAAAGGTTGTATAAGGACAACTTGTTCTTTTTCTTCTTCCAACAATCTAGCACCATAATAACATTTGAAGATATCTTAACGTGATTTAACTAGAATTTATAAATAAAATATGAGGTATCTCAAATGAACAAAAATATTCTACGGGACTAATATGCAAGTTTCATACACTGACAGAACACGAAAGTAGTAGTTATTTTTAGATAGATAAATAAGCACTTACTATGTCATCTCATACTGTCTTATGATTATTTGTTTTTGCTTTGAAAGATCTGATAGATTATTACATTATTGTAGTTAAAAATAGGCATACTGAAAGACTGAGTGAAGGGTACAGGTTGCACAACAAACCAGATCTTAAGAATCTCATTCGTCATAAAATTTAATGAACTCCTCTCTAACAATTTAGGAAAAAGAAACAAGGGCTGCAGTATGGACTGAATGTCTGTGTCACTCCAAAATTCTTCTGTTGAAATCTTCACCCTAATGTGGTAGTATTAGGAGGCGGGGCCTTTGGGATATAATTTAGGTCATGAGGGTGGAACCTTCGTGAATGAGATCAGTGCCCTTAAAAAAAGATACCCCAGAGAGCTCTCTAGTCCTCTTTCTACCATGTGAGAATGCAAGATGGCTGTCTGCAACCCAGAAGAGGGCTCTCACTGGAACCTGACCATGCTGGCACCAGGATCTCCCTGATCATCCACTTCCAGCCTCCAAAATTGTGATAACTACATTTCTATTGTTTAAACCCCGATTCTGTGGTAACTTGTTATACCAGCCCAAACTGATTAAGATAGCTGACTTGTCACAGTATTAGTTACAGGTAGTCTTGTATTATATCTATTCAAGAAACAGGAGACTGTTCGGGTCTGTGATATGAATCTGAGGTGTGCTAACGATCTCTGAATGTCTCTCCAGATCTAGTCTCCATCCTTCTCTAGGGCTGAGGAAGCTGTCCTTCACAGAAAGCTTTCCCAAACTCCCTTGCCCTCTGGCTTGCAGGGGTTTCAGCCAATGGGAGGTGCCAGCTGGAGACGGAAGGAAAGAGAAGTCAGAGTATGTATCCCTCTCTTTGCTTTTGCTGGGCTGTGGCTTAGCAGTGGTAGTATTCCTCTGCTTCTAGTCAAGGTTTCTGTTGGGTAGACTGTCTCCCATGCCTACAGCTGTCACCAGGTTCTGGTAATACCTTTCTCTGTCCTCATCTCTTTCAACCAGGTGATTAATGGCTTCCCACTGTTGCTATCTCTTAATGCTTCACCATCTTTTGTTGGTGTCCTTGATGCTAACCATATTTCTGGAAATAGTCACTTCGTTAAACTCTTTTCAGTTAACCTACAATTGTGCCATCTGTTTTCTGGCTGAATCACGAGGCAAGGTGGCAAGACTATACTGTTTCATGTTTCTTGCCCCTCCACATGTTGTTTTCTCTATCTGGAATGTCTTCTATCCCTTTTCGGTCTAGGAAACTCCTATTTCTGCTTTAATAGTCAGCTCAATAATCATACCATCTGAGCAGCCTTCCCTGTCACTCACCTCTTAGGCACTCTTTTTAAATTTTTATTATTTTATTTTACTTATTATTTATTTATTTATTTTTGAGACGGAGTTTTTGCTCTTGTTACCCAGGCTGGAGTGCAATGGCACGATCTCGGCTCACCGCAACCTCCGCCTCCTGGGTTCAAGCAATTCTCCTGCCTCAGCCTCCTCAGTAGCTGGGATTACAGGCACGTGCCACCATGCCCAGCTAATTTTTTGTATTTTTAGTAGAGACGGGGTTTCACCATGTTGACCAGGATGGTCTCGATCTGTCGACCTCGTGATCCACCCGTCTCGGCCTCCCAAAGTGCTGGGATTACAGGCTTGAGACACCGCGCCCGGCCTTTATTTTATTTTATTTTATTTTTAAGAGATGGGGTTTCACTATGTTGGTCAGGCTGGTCTTGAACTCCTGACCTAACGATCCACCCACCTCGGCCTTCAAAGTGTTGGGATTACAGGCGTGAGCCACTGCGCCTGGCCAGGTACTCTCTCATAGTTCCTTTGAACCACTGGCCTACTGCCATTATGATTATCTTAATTTTCTCGATATGCTGACTGGGTTTGCTGTTATGTCAATCATATTGCCTGTTAAAAGACAGATGTTATAAAATATTTGTTATACTGGAATTTTTTTTTTTTTTTTGAGATGGAGTCTCGCTATGTGCAGTGGCGTGATCCCAGATCACTGCAACCTCCGGGTTCAAGCAATTCACCTGCCTCAGCCTCCTGACTAGCTGGGACTAACAGGTGTGTGCCACCATGCCCGGCTAATTTTTGTATTTTTAGTAGAGACAGAGTTTTACCATGTTGGCCAGGATGGTCTCGATCTCTTGACTTCATGATCCACCCACCTCGGCCTCCCAAAGTTCTGGGATTACAGGCGTGAGCCACCATGCCTGGCCAATATTGGATTAATTAATTTTATTGGAGAGGATAAGTGCTAAATGTTGTACAAGCCAGAGATCCCATGTGTCTCAGTTTCCAGTTTGTCAATGATCTTTAAGCGAACTCATCTGACTACTTGCCTGAGGTACCAAGATCTCTGTGAATGGCCAGCAGGTGATTTGGTACTGTCATACTTTCCTACTTGCTCTCATTGCTGAAATCACAGCTCAGTTCAGTGACCTGATGCCATGAATAGCTTTGTTGTGGGAGTGCAAAGAAAGCATTTTACCTCCTCTTTCTTTCTATTTCTCCTGCTTCCCTGTTTCTCCTCAGAATTCCTAGTAGAGAGATTCCTAAGTGGCTATTTTTGAAAAACTTTTGTCAAGGACTATAGTATTATACAGAAATTGAGTTTTTCACCAACCCGATGGTTAGAGTCTAAAAAAAAAAAAAAAAAAGAAATTGACAATAAGAAAATCTCCCACCATCTTTGGCAGGCTATGAATAATGCAGTTGCTATATTTTAACTTTGAGGGATACCTAATTTGTTATTGTTTTGTCACTCATCTTTATATGTGTGAATTTAGGCAGATGTGCAGTGTCTTAAGAGAAATCTAATTAAGGCTGTGTTCTTAGACTGAAAGCTTGAATTTACTCAGCACCAAGTCTGCATTACTTTTATGCCTCCTACCCATTTAATTTACCACTACTAGAATATTTTAAAAATGCCTTTTGTGGCTGAAAACTCAATGCTGAAATGCTTATATATTACACAGTCATGTTTTACTCAGTGAGAAATACTGTGTTTTCTTGCTTTCTTTCTTGTTTGTCTTCACTGTAAAAAACACCTTCCTTTCTTTCTTCCTTCCTTCAGTTTCTTTCCTTCTTTCTTCTCTCTCTCTCTCTCTCTCTCTCTTTCTTTCTTTCTTGTAAAGGAATGCTCTCGGCTCACTGCAACCTCCACCTCCTGGGTTCAAGCTATTCTCCTGCCTCAGTCTCCCAAGTAGATGGGATTACAGGCGCTCACCACCACGCACAAGTAATTTTTATATTTTTCGTAGAGATGAAGTTTCACCATGTTGGCCAGATTGGTCTCGAACTCCTGACCTCAGGTGATCCACCAGTCTCGGCCTCCCAAAGTGCTGGGATTACAGGCATGAGCCACCACACCTAGCTAGGAAATACTATGCTTTCAAAAACTTATCTTTTGTTTTCTTTTTAAAATAAGCAACCCTATTAACTGATTGTATTTAATTTTGAAAACACATTTAGAATACAGTTGGCAAATCATCCTACAGAATGATAGCAAAGTACATGTAATACACATTATAAAACAACCCTTATGAATAATTAGTTAGAATAAAAGGACTCAGTATAACATCTGTCATTTCTATGTAGTAACCTGATTTCTAGTTTCTGTGTGTGGGTCTGTGGGGCTTCAGATTCAGGTATAGTTGTTCTGGAGATACCACTTTTCCTAAAACAATTGGACACTGCCGTTATCAGTCATTTGGGGGAAGAAGCAGGCCTTCAGATGGGAAACTCCAACTGAAAGGCAGGTCTTAACAGAGGTGTTGAGGGAGCAGCTATCTACCTCTTGACCTTTCTCCCATAAGTTGGGACACTTAGGTCTCTAGAAGTTCTTGAAGGAATTATAAGAAGGTAGGGAACAGATTCTAAAAGCACTAGGTAGGGAGGTTTCCCTGTAAGGAACTCAAGAATTGATGATGAATAACAATATTTTTTAAGCAACCATATCTTGTAGTATGATACTTTGTATCTATTTCCTTCTAGGCTTTGAAAGTCTCCCTGAATGAGCCCCTGCAGTGGCTCACACCTGTAATCCCAGCACTTTGGGAGGCTGAGGCAGGCGGATCACCAGAGGTCAGGAGTTTGTGACCAACCTGGCCAACACAGTGAAACCCCATCTCTACCAAAAATAAAAAAAATTAGCCGGGTGTGGTGGCACACACCTGTAGTCCCAGTTACTTGGGAGGCTGAGGCAGGAGAATCGCATGAACCCAGGAGGTGGAAGTTGCAGTGAGCTGAGATTATGCCACTGCACTCTAGCCTGGGTGACAGAGAGAGACTGTTTCCAAAAAAAAAGAAAAAGAAAAAGAAGTCTCCCTGAATGAATGGATGATTTAAGGGAAAGAAAACCATTGTGAGGTTGGGAAATGAAGGGAAGAAAAGAAGAACAGAAACAAGGAAGGAAGAGAGAAATAAATGGCATGGATTCTAACCTGGTTTCATGTGTGTTATGAGGGAATGAAGAGGTGAGACTATTCTCTGGCAAGAATGGTAAAGCAGATACAAAAACCCTAAATACAGCATGAGGGTGATGTGATGATGGGGAAGGTGAATTTTGAAGCGGAGGGATCGGGGTTATAAGCTCCTAGCAGTCCCTTGTCCCTCCAAGTGGAATATCCGGTTTTAATTACAAAAGAAAGCTGATGGCTCTTTCATACGTTGAAGGCTACACTATCAGCAAATCGTATCCCATTGCCAAAGGAGCAGTCTCCGCTCCTTGTCTTAATTGAAAACTGCTGGTCCCTGAGACCAC